GGGCGCGGCGGACACGGATAGGAAGCTAACACGTATGAGAAGAAATGGATGGTGGTGGTGATTGTGCACATCATTATATGATTGAATGATTAAAATGTATGTTATTGTGGCGTATAGCCCAATAAAACCATCTTAAAAGAGAGAGAAGGAGAGAGAAGGACGTCAACTTGTGTCTGTTTAGGGCACACTGGAACAAACTCAACAGCACCTCCCACGGATCCACTGCTGAACCTTAGAGCAACGGACCATTTGAAATCGCAAGGCCCGCATCTGCCCACCGGCCAAGTTCAGCAAATAAAGCTCACTGCCATCATGTGACCCTACAGGGCAGGGTAGAACTGCCCCTGTGGGTTTCTGCACCTCTTTAGGGGAGTAGAACGCCTTCTCTTAGTCCCCATGGAGCCGCTGGTGGTCTCAAACTGCTGACCTGGGGGTTAGCAGCCAAAGGGGTGACCCACTACGGCCCCAGGGCTCCTTAGGGCAGGGTCAGGTGGTGAGAAAAGCAGGATGGAAACAGGAAGTGGGAGAAGGGATGTGGCTTGGAGGGGATGCCATAGAAGAGCTGAAACAACAGGTGTCCGATCACTGACTGGAAAACAGATCGTCTGCTCCGCACACCTGTACCCGATGCACAATGAGAAGTTGTGTTTTGTGCTTTGAATTACAACCAAACAAAACCACCCATCGCCGGTGGGGGGGCAGTGTTGTACTTCCGTGGCCTTTCCAGAGCTTGTTTGCAGATAGCTATCAAGAGCCTTACAAAGGCCCAGCTTCTTGCATGGAGCAAGTTCCAGCTCTGGGGCTTCATTGGAGAGACCATCCGGGTTCTGCAGGCAGGTGGATGCGGATGACATCACATGGTCGGATCATGAGGGAGACTCTCTGCTTAGTTGGCTGCCAGCTGTGTTAGGGTTCTCTAGAGAGATAAAACCAAATTGCTGATAATTTAATATATTTATTTATAAAAATAATTAGATATCTAACCAGAAATGAACTGTTAAATCATATACAGATAAATATATAGTACAAGAAATGAACAGTTAAATTATAAAGCAGTACAAATGGCTCAGTGCAACTCACTCCCGTGACAGAGAGTTGTGAGAGACTAGCAGTCCTTCAAGTCTAGTCTGCTGCCAGATCTTCCTCTATTTATAGAGAAAGCTAGGCTATGTCAGCACAGCAGCCAATCACAAGGCAG